ATCGTAGTCGCTACTCTCTTTAAGCTAAGTAAGGCACTAGATTTATGCAACACGTAGAGGTGAAACCTGTGGTGCAAGGACGAAGTAGACATAAATGAAAAGGCTCCACTGGCATGTAATGAATTACAGTATGGCATCCTTCCAAGTTCTGATCTATATAGTACATCGATGCACCACTAATGGTTGGTGCTTCAAATCAATCATGTGGCTCCTTCCTTCTGGGAGAGGATCTCACACAGCAGGTTTACCCCTTTCACTAATCCCGTGCGGATCTCCGGACCCTTCGTATCCAAGGCGATGGCCACCGGACAATAACACAGGGGGTCCGGGGTTATTGTCTCCACAGCCTCTCTGATGTTTTTGATGGTTTCACTGTGGTACTGACAGAAAACAAGGAGGGAGACAGACAGACTCAATACATGGCTGAAGGGAAGACCAAAACATGCGTGTTTGAGTGCTGTAATTTCATGCTCTACATACTTCATGTGAGCCGTGAGAGAAATTTAGACGAGCAATATTCATTCCCGCCTTCATCATCTCATGGAGTTTAGGGATAGATCGGGACGCGGGACCTGAAGGGAGGAATATCAACCGTTAAAATCCCTCCCCGTGGCTTCTCAAATATGACAATGTGGTCATTGTTTTGTTGGTTTTGGATTTTTGAACAAAATAAGCAAATGTGCCAAAAGATGATGAAGCCTTTTTTTTCCTTGTCCAAGAAAATATTTGAATACATCAAAAACATTTAGAGTCAAGAGATGTGCATGACCTTAAAATCCCATTTGCATTCTGTAATTAATTCAAGTTACTTTCCTGGCAGAAAAAAAACAGTATTTGCTCCAAAGCTACAGTTCCAAGCGCACCAGCAGACTGAAGGCTACGCAGCACGCAGGAGCTGCCAGAGATTTCATTCAACAGTTGCCAGAAAACAAGCGGCCGGTTGTCTCGCTCACCGATGGTGCAGATTATGCTGGTGTTGCGCGCTGTGATTGGCTCCTGGTCAATGTTCAGCAGACAAAGATGCTCCAGGAAAGTGTCGGCCATGCTGGCGTCCAGGCGCTGGCGTTGGATGAAAGAGTCCGGCTGCGTCATCGCCTTCCGATTAGCGCCGGATGCAAACTGTAGCAGCACAGACATGTTGACAGTGAGGGGAAGTCGGATTGAAAACTCCAACTGCAGACTACACATGGAACTAAACACCTCGGTATAGTCCACAGCAGAGAAGAGAGCGCCCAAAACACACCACGCTGACCGGACATCAGTTACATCACAGGAAGGTCGTCGATATTCACCAACTTTCCGCTCCCGTACGAGTCAGTGGTGTGAAAAAAAAAAAAACATTGCACGTCGTTTATGAGTAAAACATTTAAAAACAAATGCAAGGATCATATTAATAATTGAGGAAATAAAAAAGGCTGTAAATTGGCCTTTTCAAACGCGAAGATACGAAAAGGGTTTTCCACACGAGCACCTGAGCGAGTCAATTTCAGGCAGCAGGAGGAAGACGTGCACTTTAATGAGAGATTATCTCTCCTCCACTGAACAGACTCACAGTAACAGGGATTGAAACTAGGGATATATTTTAGGACTATTGATAAAAGGTTATAAATTATAACAGCTTACAGAATCACGTGTCGGCAAAGGTCAAAGCAGGGAATGCAGGCTGAACAGGCCTTAAATCCCAAAAGTCCATGACAGCCAGTAACAACGGCACAAAATGAATTTCTAACAAACGGGCAGAGAGAGTGAGAGGAAACGGGCTGAAGAGGAAAGTGGGAAAAGGTGTGTGGATTGGCGGAGTGGGAGGGACAGCAGTGTGGAAAGCAGAGATAGTGAGAGGGCATCTAGTGGATGAAGGGAAAATGGCAACGGGACTGTGGGCTAAAATATGTGCCTGTGACAGAGAGAAGGAATGAAGACAAACGGACACGTCGTGCTTTTCTGACCGGAAGGAGAACTATTCGGCTGCATTTGTGTTGTTGTCCAGAGTACAAACTACATGTTCTTCTCCGTTCTGGAAAAAAAATGTTAAAAATTGTGAGAAGGAATTAGATGGGAAATATTGGTCTTCAGCTGATTTAAATTTGAGTGAACACAAAGACATTCAAGTTATTTTCATTTTTTAAATAATATTTAAATTTCCGGGCATTAGATGTACTACTCTTAAAGCCTTTCAACACCCAGGGAATCCGCCTGCACAAACCCTGAGCACACAAAGCGGTAAAAGGAGCCGATGTCTTTCATGCAAAGCGATGGGGAACCTGGTCGAGGGCTTCAAGCTACTACAATGGCATCCATTTTAAAGCGTGCCACTGTCAGTCAAGCCTGCAATTTCTGCAACCACAGGGGAAGAGAGAGTAGAGACCATGCAGCTCGGAGGCAGAGGACGAGAAGAGCCTCAAACCGACAAGGTCGCTGCTGACAGCACAACAGGAACAAAGATGTGAAGAGAAAGGAAAAAGCAGGCGACACTGAAGTGAAATTCAAACTTCAGTGGTGGGGCGCTCAATTATTTCATTTTGCACAGCCCGTCGTTGTACTAAGACCTTGTTGACTGCCGTTTATACTAAGTGATATGTTGTAATTCTGTTCTTTAAGAGAGAGAGAGAGTGAGGACATGCTGAAAGACAGACGGACAGATGCTCGACGCCTTCAGAGGAAACTCCCTGATGAAAATGGGGACTTTAGCAGGATAATATCAATCAGCAGAGCTCCTCCATCCTGTGGATTCGGTATCTGTGGGTGTTCTCTCTCTCTCTCTCTCTCCACCTCCCTGTGCCCCAGTTCTGCCGCACCACTGCACACATCATTACGTGTCCCACTGAGAACTCCTCCTCTAAGCCCTCCCGAAACATGGAAAGGCACACACACACACACACACACACACACACACACACACACACACACACATACACACACAAATGTAGGCACCTGTTACTGGAAGGCTGACTATAAATAAAATAGGTCAAAGACAGTGGCAAAATAGCGCTTGAGGCACAGCCTTTGTGGGTGATGAGAGGTGAACCAGGTGATGGGCGTGGCCTGTTTGCAGCAGGTCACATTTCTGCGCATCAGAGAGTAATGCATTGTCTTACGCGTGGACCGTATAATGAAATCATCGGATAATGCATTGGATAATGCATGGCCAATGGATATTGAAAAGGACAGATCATCCACGAGACTGCACCTAAATAACCTTCTACATGCAGTTCAGTTTGCAAAAAGTAATTTGGGATTTTTTAATAAAGCTAAAGTTTTGTGATAATGTGAAAACGTCACTGTATCTCTGCACCTGCAATCCAAAGTGAAATCATTGGTCCACTTACTCATTTTTATAAGACCATTTCCTTGTAAGATCCCAACAGTTCCTTGTCCTCATTTACTTTATCTATTTCTGTAGTTTCTATGTTTCTTCCACTGTGTTGATTCTCCATCCAGCTATTTTTCCTCATCTCTCCTCCCACTCACACCGCAGACAGATGATTTTTGATGAATTTGATGATGAACAAATTCCTTGTATGCTTGGCATATTTTGGTAATAAATGTTTCCTGATTCCTGAATTTGCAGTCTGACTGAAACAACTGCTTCTTACTCCCTAAAAGGCAAAGTGCGAAGTCAATGATCTATAAATGTCAATATGACTGATCAATAATTAATTTGGGCCTCCATAGCCTGCAGCCAAGGTCAGAGTTCAAAAAGTGGAGGAATTGAAAAGCAGATATAAAAAGACTAAGAGAGTGTTATAATACTAAACACTGGCCACGACCTGGCAACCCAAAATACGTTATAAGTAGAGAGGCCTTTTTAAATTTATTTTAAGTCAACATAAAATCAGTTTACAACCCACTTTTAATAGGTGACTTATGAAAGTGATACGTTTTTAGGAAAGCATCATTATAAGTGTATTGCAGTTTTAGAGTGAGATTATAAGTGCAGATGTTTTTGAAACATTGAAATATAGTCTGCGTCATTATTCACTTTTTCGCATTCAACCACAGAAGCATGTTGCTGCTTTACTGGAAAACAAAGCTGCCTTATTTGAACTATGGACTGATAGGAACCGATGTTATATAAGTATTAGACTTTGGCAAATGAGGTGCCGCAAAAGAATGACATGTCTGCTACTCTGTTTATTCAGAGTTATTAAAGGGTTGAATCCATGCAGGTCACATGAACCCAGAATGAAGGAAAGGTGTAAATCGTTAGCCAAAGGACAAACAGACCTTTGTTCCTCAGTGGACTAAAGAAGCCCTGCAGCCCTCTGCTCGATGTCACACACACACACACACACACACACACACACACACACACACACACACACACACACACACACACACACACACACACACACACACACACACACCTGTATGATATAACAGACTGGAGTAAAGGTTGGTTTTACATACAGACACTAAAGTCCTATAATATGACATACAAGTTAAATTGCAATCGCTTATAACAATAAAACATTTAATACATGTTGGAGAAGCATCAGTATTAAAGCATTAGCCAACGCATTAGAAACTTTATCTTAACGTGCAACTCACAGGTTGAGAGAAGGTTTGCGAAGAAAATTAACTCTTTTTAAGGAGCTTGTCAGAAAATGATTTGCAAAAGTGGGAAACGGAGAGCGACCAATCATTATTTTCCGCCGCAACATAAATAAACCCTAAGAGAGTTTTTCAGCCAAAAGAAAATATCAATCCAACAGAAGAACCATGTTTACGGATGTAGAAAGAAATGTTGGCACACTGCATACGGCCCCTAAACGGTGGGCAACGCAGAAACAGTCGAAGCGAAGTAGTAAACTGGAGATCTTTAGAAAGGAAACGACCAACCTGTTGGATGCACGATGAGGGCCAAGAAGACGAGTGGAGAGGAGGGACGAGCGCTCAGGTGGAAACGAATGAGTTGGCGGGAGTTTTAGCGCCACCTGGTGGACTGTCTGTAAATGTTGACTCTGCGAACTTTGCCACAATGAGGACCACACGTGGACAAGTCCTGTTACAAGTTTATTGATCGGCAACAGGAATTATTGGGTTGAATACAAAGTGCATCAGGACGGGAAGAAGCTCAGTATAACCTTCAGTGAGTGTCATCAGAATATGGTTGTTGAACTGGGATATTAAAACAAGCTACGCTGTATTGTATTGTAGTATCATACTGAATCGCATGTCACGTGTTGATGGCATGTCTGCAGTGTGCACACGTATGTTTCAGAGTTTTCTGAAAGTGATCCTCGGCGGAGTCTCAGGCTGCAGGATGAGGGTGCATGTGGTCTTGAGGTCCTCTGAGGACAACACGCTGAGATGGAAGCTCCGCAGGATCTAGACGGAGAGGATGAAGGGAAGCAGAGGAGGAGGAGGAGGTGATGGAGGTGTAATCAGTCACAGGGCACAAGGGGGAGGAGTAGCTGTTAAGAAGGATCGTATTTATGCTGCATTAAGCATCAGCGGCATAAGTATCGACTGAAGAACACTGGTTAACAAGTACGGAGTCTCCTTGGGCTCTTTGTCGCATTTCAGGAAGCAGATCCACCAAAAAGTTACTCTTTCCCTAAACTGCTGGATGGGTTTAATTCAAATAGTTTGAGGCCAAAATAAGTTTATTAGATAACAATCTGAAAAGAAATGACTACAAATGTGTGCAGCAGGTCTCTTTTTCCTCTCCTATCGCTCATCTCATGCCAGATTCCTCATGTGGCTCTTTGGAGGAGCTTGACTCCTATTTGTAACCATTGAGTTAAACTACATAACTTATTTCTAATATAGCAACAATGCTCCATCTAATCTGGTTAAAACCCGATGTGCTGCTTAAGCATTGAGGCATCAGCACACAGAGTATTTTAGCATTGTTGTTCAGTTTTATTGAAGTAAAGGATCTGAGTACTCCGTCCAAATCAGCCATTTTACCCTCCCCCCCCCTCTTGCATTGTATACTTTCTCCCTCACTCCATCCTCCTTGACTCACATGCATGAGCAGGAGCTGCATCTCGTTCTCGGCAATCCTCCTCCCAACGCACTGCCTCGCCCCAAAGCCGAACGCCAGGGAGCGAAACCCTCCAGCGCTCTGGCCTTCCTCTCTGGCACCGCCCCACCGGCCGGGGTCGAAGCGATGTGGATCCTTAAACACCTCGGCACTCCTCCCCAGGGGGTAAAGACAGGCCTGCACCATCGTCTGAGGGGAGGGTTGATTCAGTAGCATTCAATGCACCTGGATGTGTTGGGACGAGCACATGTGAGGATCTGATAACTCACCCCGGCAGGAATGTGGTAATTCTGAAGAACGATGTCTTTGATCGGGTACCGCTGCACTGTGGTTCCCACCGGATACAACCTGACACACACACACACACAGACAGAGTCTGATGACTCATTCCCAAAACTGAACTCAGGATTCCTGGTAAAGAAATCTCGCTGTTGATGTAAGGTAACACTGATTTGCGCGAGAACTGAGCTTATAATAAATAGATATGGGGAAAAGGAAGAACATCATTGTCAGCTGTGCATACCGGGCTCCCAACAATAGCATAGAGAAGTTCAAGGAGGTGATGGAGAGTATGGCTACAAACACCGAGCAAAAGGTAACTTTTCTCTGTGGCGATTACAACATCGATCTTCTGAATCCTAACAAACTAACACCGATAGAGAAATTCATGGATGCAATGTACAGCAGAAGCTTGTATCCTATTATTACTAAACCTAGTCGAATTACAGTCCACTCTGCAACACTTATAGATAATATTTTTACTAATAACCTAATAGATAATATAGAAAGTGGATTATTATTAAATGATATTAGTGACCATCTGCCGGTGTTTGCAATCTACAGCGGTACACCTAGGTTGGCTGAAAGGAATGAAATGATAGAAAGGAGATTAAGAACGGTTGACAATCTAAACAAGTTCAGAAATGAATTAAGTGCACAAAACTGGAGAAAGGTTTATGAGGCAGAGGAGGTTGATTATGCTTATGATTCCTTCCTGCAAACTTTTCTGATGTTATATGACAGATGCTGTCCAATTCAGCAAAGCAGAAAACGAGCAAATCGCTCAGATAAACCTTGGCTTACAAAGGGTCTGTTGAACGCCTGTAAAAAGAAGAACTTCTTATATAAAGTGTTTATCAAGAATAGAAATAAGGAGAAAGAAATGAAGTATAAAAGATATAAAAATAAATTAACTGATATTATGCGAAATTGTAAAAAGGATTATTATTGTAAACTACTAGATAAAAATAAAAATAATATAAAGGAAACATGGAAGATCTTAAATTCAATTATAAGAAATCAATCGACCAGCTCTGGATTGCCAGAAGAATTCTAGATAATGATAAGATTATTAATGACAAAAAGGAGATGGTAGAAGGCTTCAATAAATTCTTTGTAAATGTGGGCCCTAAACTAGAAGAGCAGATAAACCTTCCTCAAGGGGGATGCGTAGCACATTATTTGGGCAAGAGGAACCCAGATACTATCTTTCTGAAAGACACCGATAAAAATGAAATTATTGCCATAGTTAATAACTTCAAAAAAAAAACATCAAGAGACTGGAATGGTATTGATATGACAATAGTAAAAGAAGTCATTATTAATATAGCAGATCCCCTAGCACATATCTGCAATGTTTCACTTCAAACGGGCTTCTTTCCAACCAAAATGAAAACTGCTAAGGTAATTCCGATTTTTAAAGAAGGTGAAAAAAACCTTTACAATAACTACAGACCAGTCTCCCTGCTTTCCCAATTTTCCAAAATTTTGGAAAAAATATTTGCTACAAGGATGGACAGTTTCATAGATAAACATGGATTACTCATAGATAGTCAATATGGTTTTAGGCCAAACCGATCAACATCATTGGCACTCATGGACTTAGTAGAAGAACTGACAAGCACAATAGATAACAAAAAGATGGCAATAGGGGTCTTCATAGATCTGAAGAAGGCATTTGACACAATAAACCATGATACACTGCTACACAAACTGGAAAGCTATGGTATCAGAGGGGTTGGACTAAATTGGGTACAAAGTTACATAGGACAAAGAAAACAGTTTGTACAGATAGGGGATAAGAAGTCCACCTTAAGAAATATTACCTGTGGTGTGCCGCAAGGATCAATACTGGGTCCAAAACTATTTATTATTTATATAAATGACATAAGTAATGCTTCCAGGATCCTGAAAAATGTTATTTTTGCAGATGACACAAATGTATTCTGTGAAGGAGGGAACCTCGAACAGTTGTTGGAGGCGGTCTCGACTGAGTTAACCAAGCTGAAATTGTGGTTTGATATAAATAGATTATCACTTAATGTAAAGAAAACCAAATTTATGGTCTTTGGTAAAAGTAACACACAAGCAAACACACACATTGAACTAATGATCGATAATATAAAAATCGAAAGGGTGTTTGAATACTCCTTTCTAGGTGTAATGATAGACCACAAGCTCAGCTGGAGGCCACAGGTCACTCGTGTACAATCAAAATTGGCACGATGTGTAGGGATACTAGTCAGAGTCAGACATATATTGAATATACAATCACTGCATACACTGTACTGTACACTGTTTGCTCCCTATTTGAGTTACTGTGTGGAAGTGTGGGGTAATACCTACAAAAGCACCCTACAGGCAATATGCACAATTCAAAAAAAAGCAATACGGATAGTTAATAAGGTGGGGTACTATGAACACACAAACACATTATTTCTGAAATTAAATATATTAAAATTTATGGACTTGAAAGATTTTAAAATGTTACAGATTGTATTTAAAGCAAGAAACAGCCTACTCTCAGGAAACATTCAAAGTTGGTTTAGCGACAGACTAGGAGACTATAATTTAAGAGGGAGACTGAAACTGAGGCAACCAAAGGTGCACTCTACACTCAAAAGCAGGTGCATATCGGTCTGTGGGGTGAAGTTGTGGAACAACTTACCAGATAAGATCAAAGATTGTAAACATATTGCACAGTTCAAAAAACATCTTAAATTATACACATTAGCCAAATATGAGAACTGTGAAAATATTAAGTGAAGGAAATTTAAATTGTATTTATTTGTGCGTGTGAGTATGCGTGCGTGTGTGTGGGTGAGAGTGTGTGTGAGTGTGTGTATGTATGTATGATATTAATCTTCAAAGTAATATATACTAATTGAGAATATGGATAAGAAAGGGGTGGGTATCTATAAGCTTTTGCTTCCCCCTACTCCTTTTCTTGAACAAAAGGTGTATTTTCTCATTTTGTGGTCTACGTCTATGTTGATTTTTAAATTTTTTATTATTTGGTGTCTACATGTTCAAGAAATAAAATTCTTCAAATCAAAATAATTTACAGGCAAATGAGCCTAATCCATCCACTGATGAAGACCTGATGGAAAGCCCCAGAAAAGCATGTAAGTCTACCTTTTGTCAAACATCAGAATTAAAGTTAATTTTAAGCTAATTCAGTTGAAAGGGTCCTCAAAGCGCTATCGTCTCTATGACAACCGAGGAAACTTGATTCACTGATGATGGTTGGTGTGACGATGATTGAAATCCAAGATCTTTGACAAAACCCAAAAGAGAAATTGAGCTTAACAATATTCCAGAATGCGATAACCGGTCGTTTTTCTGGTGGTGGTTTTGTGCGATGAAGCTGGATTGTGCAGGACGCTGTGAACTCGATAGGAACTGGGAGGACAAAGGACTGGCAGAGATGGACCAGCGTGTGTGTACTGGATAGACAGAATAGAAAACATCCCCAAGGGAACCACAAATGAATTAATCAACGAGGAGACGGGTGTGTCTCGGGTAATATTCACCTGAGAATCTCCTTGATTGTGCCTTTCAGCAGTGGCGCCCCCTGCAGGGCTTTCACAGAATCACCACCAGCTTGTGCCCATGACGCCCTCACCTGCTGCCTCACCCTCTCCTGCACGTCGGGGTTACGACCCAGCTCGAACAGAGCGAACTGCAGGGGCACCGCTGTCTGCAGGACAACGGCACGAGAGGTCACGTGGAATAAGTCAATGTGTACAAAAATACACCATGGAAGAACAAACACACACACCGTGTCGACCCCTCCAGCCATCAGCTCAGTGACATTGGCTTTGATGAGGTCTAAAGATAGCTGCCCTTTCTCCATGAGTTGGCCCAGAACTCCGGTGTACTGGCCTCCGGCTGCAGCCTCGGACCCTCGAGCCCGCGAGGAAGACAGCGCTGGTATCCCTTCTGGATCCTCGCCTCGGCTGGAAGCTTTGAGGGGTGAGGAGTAGAGGTCATGGGCTCTCAGGCATGAGGGCGCAGTGAAACGCTTCCAGGGGGCCCCCTGAAAGCTGCTTACCGTTGCAGAAGATGTGTATTATGCTCTGGCATGCTGCGTCAACAGAGGAGCGCCCGCAAGGAGCATCAGGCGAGGGGCAGGTTGAGGAGAGGAGGGGTCGTGGCCAGCATTCGCTCCACGGCCCAGATGAACTTCTGGGACTCCATGGAGGGAGACGAGGCGAAGAGGCCGATGCGCTCCCCGTAGATCACATGGCAACTGGCTGTGGGGGTGCAGGAGTGAGGGGGAGGGGGGAGGGGGGAGGGTGGGAGACAGCCGACGTGTTTCTGGGTGAGCAAACAGACTGAAAAAAAAGGCCAAAACAAGGGGATGCACACTGAATATAAGAAGTAGACAGTAATCTGAGGGTTACTCGGCCCTTTGCGTTGAGGATATTCTAAAATTATTCCCTGAGTGCGTGCGTCGCCGCAGAGGACGGCCTCGCCTCCAGCAGACATCCAGCGCCCATCAGACACGCTAGTATTAAACACCGCATCACTGACTGGAATAGAGTTTCTTACAGATCTATTCCTATCCCGGCTTAGCACCTGGCTCTGTGTCCCTGGTTCCATTGGGAGCAGCTTAGCGTGCCTAAATGTCTTCACCCCCCCCCCCCCCCCCCCCCTCTCTCTCTGACGCACACACACACACACACACACACACGTGTACAGCACACCGAGTCACACCAGCTCACAGGTGTGAATGTGGGAAGTAGCAGGTTGAGGCGGATGAAAGGAGCAGAGCCGGAGGGAGAATGCTGGAGCTTTGATCATCTTTGTTGCTGTTTCTAATTTTTCTATTTTTAAAGGTGCCTGTTCTCCATGACCTCCTACAGCTGTAATATGTTAACGACAGACATGCCTGGAGGTTAAAGAGAGCTTTGGCTCTCATTAGAGGTGAAACTATTTTGAAAGGCAAATATTTTGTTCCTGCAGATTCTTCTGACATGACACGCTTTAATGGCCTGTTGGTCTACTCAACTCAAAGAGCTGAGAGTTAAAGTGAAAGTCTGTCAAAGAGGGAGGTGACATTAAGAGGAGGCTCATCGGGTGAATGGGGTAAAATCTTATTGGATATCTCTTTGAAACTTACCCAGGTGATGACTTGCAAGTGTTCAGTACATATGTATTATTAAATACTAGCCAATTTTCACAAATTTCCAAAATGGAAACCTGGACATTAGATGAAGCCAGTTTGAAAGTGATTATGTCATTTTGTTGACGTATTGAAAATACTGTTCTACAAACTATGAGTTGAAATATATATATTTATATTAATTATGATTATATTATATTAAACATCTCAATAGGAAAAATGCAGATAGGAATTATATTGTAAAGTTTGATGTATGTAAGTACAACTGAAATGGAGATTTATAGCTTAGATTCTGAGAAAAATAAACTAATTTTGAGAAAACAACCATTAAAGAAATGTCGATTTGGAATATGCAAATGAGACCTTATCTAATGCTACTCTAGTGAATTCATGAGATCAAATAAACAAAGTAAAATTAACTAAACTGAGTACGGACGCTTTTTTTCCCACCATTTCAAATCCCACCACCGTTTACTGACTTCTCCAGGTGAAAAAAACAACACACTTTTGTGGCAATGATGAGTGAACGAAATAGAAATTCACGTGAACTTCAAGTGTGCAAACAAACGAAAGAATACACAAAGAAATTTGCAGGCCTCAAATCACTGGGGGTCAATGACCTCTGACCTTCTAGCGCGAAGCGGAAGAGGTCAGGACTGGGATCCAGGGTCAGACTGCGCTTTCCCTCCTCGCCTCTCCCCTCCTTCTCCACTCTCGCCCGGAGCATTCGGCAGAAATCCATCGCGACCTCATCAAGCAGCGGGAGGAAACGCTGCACGGGCGCACTCATCATCACCTCCTTGTTGAGCAGCAGGCGGTCAGCTCGCCACTCCTCGCCGTTCCTGTGGAGAGAGCATTCGGAGCGAGGCATTGAAGTGACCCGCTTCCCCTCGCAGCGGCCCAGAGTGGGTTGGAAAGAAAACAGTAACACTTTTCCACTCCTTTTGCTTTTTTTTCGTGGTCGCTTTGTGAAGATGCTGTGGTCGTTTTTGGTTCTCTCTGTCTCCCTTTTTCTTTTCCACAAATTCTCGGATTTTCCAGGAAACACAAACTCATTCCATCAGAATAATTAGAACGATGCTACAATCACATTTTAGGAGCTTTAAGCGTAGCTGAATACCTTCTCCAACTGGAAACAAGTGAGCAGCATTGTGATGACTTGAGTGATTACATGCACACAGACGCACGCGCTTCTCTCACTTAAAGAAATATTACATTCATAAAAAAACATTTTCTTGAGACATGTCCTATTTTTAGGAATCAACATCAGCTCAACCCTGGTCTCCCTCCACTGGCTCACTGTTTTGTTTCAGAATAGACTTTAAGAGCTTTAACGATCACTTTCACTGCACGTCTGGGTCTGATCCTAAAATGTAAAGAGGGAACGTTGAACGAGCATTCGCCTCTCGCTAGCAGCCTTAAAGTCTTGGCTGGGCCCCTTCCGGCTGTTCTAATGTCGGGGCCCAGAGCTAAGAAGGCCCGCGTGCACAGGAGCAGTACTGACTTGAGGAAAACTCCCTTGCTGTGCTGCCGCGTCTCCCGGTGCGTTGCCCACGGCTGCAGGGTCATGCGTCGGGGGTGCAGCCCCTCGGAGCGAAACAGCTCGGCTATGTCCGCCGGCAACATGATGTTCACGCTGCTGTGGGTGCCCACGTGCTCCCTGCGCACACAAACACACAAACACACACACACACACACACACACACACACACACACACACACACACACACACACAGAAGGACGTAAACTAACGTCATGAACATAATCGGAAAAACAAATCTTTCGCTCCTCTTTCAAGCATCAACGTCACCCAGGAGGCGATGCCGCCATCCCACTACCTGTAGATGGGCCCCAGGGCGTTGAAGGTCCTCTCCATGTGCTTGTGGATCTGCCGGAAACGGTCCTCTCTCCAGAACTTCACCAGGTTGATCAAGCCGCTCCTCCCCGTGTGAGGGATCTCCTGGAAGCTCCGCACCCGACCTCCGGCCCTCTCGGCTCCTTTTCTCCCCTCCGACTTCCCCGGCGCCACCGCCACACAGAGAGCTCTCTGCGGTGCGACGGCACAGAGCGCCCTCCCGGAGCCGCGGGGGCCCTGCGCTCGGACGCACACCGTCACTCGGGTGCACACGCTCCTCATGGTCCGAACGAGGTGCGTCCCGTTGGTGCCGACCAGAGTTGTGGCGGCGCTCGCTGGCGTCTCTCCATGACCGATTATTTACCTCCTTAATCCTTAACCTCATATCCTTGAATCTGCTCCATCGCTCTGATGGACTGATAGGGAATGATGATTTATGGACGTGAAGGTCAGAGTTCAAGAGAACCACAACAGAGCCCAAATGTCAGGCTGCTCCAGAACACACACACAGACACACACACACACACACACACACACACACACACGCACACACAACGAGAGAGTCCAGCTGGTCAAAGATGTCTTTATTACACGTTTTTTTTGTCATGGCAAGTGGAGAAAATAATAAAGAGACCATGACTGTCTATCAGTTTGGGTGCTTTTTTTTTCTGCTTCTTGTTTGAAAAAAAAACGTAAGCAGCAGATGACTAATTAAGAAACTAATTGCTTTTCTCTCTACAATATTGAGCTTATTATATCAAATCTATATCAAATGTAGCTTCAAACAACAATTTATTTACATGTGATATAGATTAGAGATCATTTACAAAGAGACATACAATCATACAAAATCATACAAAATGAGCACTTTTAACTGATTTGTGTCAATGTGTGATGAAATGTGTTTCCCTGAGGTTCCTTACTTGTGAACAGATCACTTGGATCTGTCATTTAGAGAGAAGTTACAGTACAACAAAACTAGCTAGTTTATAGATGGAATAAAATAATAAATATTACACAAACAAAACTAGGCTCTAAATGGGGAGAAGACAACAACTCGTTAAGGTAATAATTAACAATTATCGTCCAATCCCATTTTTTAGGGACCATTTAGAATGCAAAACAACACCGCTTGTGATGTAACTTTCCCTGCTGGTGTATTCATCAGATTATTATCAGAGAATTCATCATCTGCAGGTTTGATCAGTTCAATTTATATTTAGCTCATCTTATACAAGATTATAAAATAATCTGGCATATTAGTGTAATAAGACAAGAATAGTCCTCAGATGACATGATTGTGTAACAAGAGTTTGTATGTAAGATGTTGAAGTGGCACCCTGAGGGGGCGGTGCCTCCGTCGCCCCTCCGATCACACGGCGATCACTGGACTCTGCAGGCTGCTGGTGCAGGAGTGGACGTCCTGCTGCGTTTCCCTCCTTTGAGCTCCTCCGTGCCAAAGCCGAGGCCTTGGAAGGCGCTCAGCAGGTTAAAGCCGTTGTCCTTACTTTTGGAATTAGAATGAATGATCTTCGACAACTCGCGGGGGAGAGACACTTTTCCTCCAACAGATTTCAGGTGGTTTGTGTCCCTGGTGCTCTAATTAAGAAGAAAAAAAAACAAAAAAAAGAAGATGAAAAAACGTGTATCCTCTCTCTTGTAAACTTGTACTCTGTATCTGTCTTCATTGCCAAACAAGCAGACAGCATTAGTAACAAATAGAAAAATAGAAAAGCACTTGTTAAGAGCAGAGCTATTTGTTTATGAAGACACGTGAGCTTCAACATGAACTACACATTCCTTCATAAAGACTCGTCTACATTGATTTTGTTAGAATGAAGAGTCATTTTGGGTTGATATCGGCGGTCCTTGTGAAGAAAAGCGGTAACGTGTATCGGAGTCCTTTTGGAAACTTGGTGCATCTTATTTTACTGCAGTTCTGTCAGTCTGCCTGCACAGTCCTGCTTCTGCATCGACATTTTCAGATGTATGTGCAAAAGCGCTAGAAGTGAGTTTTGCATGAAAAACAAGCTTTTCAAAAAAACGAGTAAGAAAATTGAGTAAAGTTGCCTTTGTGGAAAACGTATTGCTGTGCACAATACATGTCGGAAATACTGGGAAAATATTGAGCAGAAATGCTTTGTATTGCATAATAGATTATTTCTTCTTCCCCAAAAGCTTCCTTCCACCCTACAGCTCAATGACCCTGAAGCATCTTCGTCACGCTTCCCAAATAAATCAGTAAAAGCATAAATCATTATGTTTTTTTTCCTGTTTAATAGAAACATCTGCACTCACCTCAGACAGCTGATATTTTCTCCTGAAGTGAGCTCTCATAGCGGCTCTCTCTGCGTTCTTCTGAGCGTTCGTTGCTTCCCGGAGCTTTCTGTGAACACGGCAGACGAAAACACAAATGACACAGAATTTGAATTAAAGCAGATTTCCTTACTTAATGTTAACGAATCCAGTTTCAGACTGTAAATTCATAAAAATGGCTTATTTGAAAACAAATGCAAATTTAAAGGACAGTTTTGTTTTGTTGCCATTATGTATTTAAATGTACATGTTCTGTAGAACACGTTTCATTTTCAGTATCTCCAAATATTTGAAGTATATTTATAAAATGTATTTCCATTTGATGCCATTTTACACTTTTTAATTTCAAAAACAAAATACTCATCTAACTTGTATGTACTCTTTTGATAGTTCAAGCATATTTAGTAAATAATATTTTGATGAAAATAACATTTTGAGAGGACCTTTACTTTTAAAGTGTGGTTTCAGCATGTTACTGTCACTTGTACTCGGTGTACTATGCGTGATGCGTCTCTGAAGTTGTCCACTCGCCTTTCTTTCTCCAGGTCCTTCTCGTACGAGCAGATGATTGACAGGTCTTTGGGCTGCGCTGTTCGGGGAGGAGGGGTCCTCCCAAACCGGTGGCATCGTCCCCTTCCTCTCCAAAACCTGCCCCTCTTCTTCCTGCGTTTGGCACACAGCTTCCTCTCCTTCACCTTTGACCCCCAGCTCGTCAGCCTCCCGATGGGCGTCCTCAGCCAGTTTCTCACCCTGAGCACAGACTCCATGCGGCGGCGGGAGCCGGGACGGGAGGGAACGACCACCGGCCCTACTTCTCAACCAGATGTTGGGTGGACCTAGAAATGTTTCGTCCTTCGCTCATGTTGTGTTGCGCCGATGGGACAAACTCAGGACACACACACACACGCACGCACGGCGGCTATAACTCAGATTGAGACCTGCCAAGGACAAGGACGTCAGTCAGACAAGGCTCACAGACGCACAGACTCAGTTAACTCTTTCACAATTGTTTGTCATCTAGAGGAAAAGAAAAAAAGATTAGCCACTTTTTCACTATTAATCCCCACCGAATGAACATTTATCATGTCCGAGTTCACCGTCTGCTTACCGACCAGGTGGTCACAGTGTAGAATCCCGATAAAGCTCCGGGCAGATGGCCTCCGCCTCGACCGGACAATCCCACAGAGCTTCAGAAAAACAGAGAGAACAAGAAGAAACAGAAGAAGAAGAAGACTCTCCCCGCCGGATGTGGTTGCCGTGTGTCGCTCACGGGAGAAAATGACGTTTCGTTTGCTCGTTTCAGCCTCTTCTTTGTCGCCTTCCGTCCTCCAGACTTCCTCCGCTCTCCAACAGACCCGACTGTCCCTTACAGATTGCTTCTCAAAGGGCTCAACGAGGGGAATCTCGTTAGCGGGTAATTAACCCGATGACTCAAGTGTTTGTGAAGGAGATTTAGAGACTTCATGTTGAGTGACACACGCAGGCGTTCGCAGGCGGGACATTAGAGTTGTTGCTGTTGAATGCAACATTTTTGGGGTTTTAATTTTTAGGAGCTGTTCAGCGCTTCATTTGGGAAGGTGACAGAAAAGGTAATGAGAGATGTTCTTTAACCTCAGCCAACCAGAAAGCTAGACAGTTGTTACGATATTACACGTTTTTTCAGTTTTTTGCAAGAACATAATGAGTATTTGCCCGTCTGATACCCAGAGATGAAGAGATGAGCGAAGCTTTGAGGAACGGGAATGAAACAAAGAGAAACCTGAATGGAGAGTCTGGCCTGAGACAACACAGAAAATAGGACATTATAAAAGACTGATGCAGTTACCTTAACCTTAAAATAAAGCGACAATGAGGTCATTGATAAAAAATATTTGCATTTTTCTAAATATTTATATATTTAGAAAAATGCACACAAAAATAACAAACCAGAAAAAAAACTGTTTTTCTTTTCTTAAGTTTTGTTAATGTTTGTTGTTGTCCTTAAGGTACGGAGAGATTTGGCTTTGGCTTTTTCAGCTTTGTGTTTAGCCACTATAACGTAGTTATAACCAGTCAAACAGACATTAACAACTTCCCTGTGAAGACAATATGAATTGTTACACGTACATTCCTTGAAATTAAAGATTTAAATCTGCTTACAAACTACAAAATAGTGTGTTGAATAGTTTATTTATTATCTTTACATGAAGCTAATGAATGTTAAAATGGAGGGTGTTGTTTTCTGCGTTAGAAAGCATCTGAAAGTCTTCCCTCGGTGAGTTCTGTGCCCTACTTGGGACTCACACAGCCTCTAAACTCTTCAACCAACCCACTTATATGACCTTGTTCCCTCTGCCGCTTTGACCTCTTTGACCTCTGACAGGTGAGGAGAATTTAAGGCTTTAACAAGATCCCCAAGACAAGCCCCGCCTCCTGAAGCTCACGTTCAACGACAGATCTGGGATCAGCTCACTTATGTCAACAGTATTTCCCCAGAGAAGCGAGGTTGAGCACATTAACAATCGTACAAAAGACAAATTAATATTCTTATATTTCTAATATTTGTGGATTATTTTTATAAAACCAGAGCAACAAAACCAAATAATTATTAACCTACTCAACCTCATTTTTGATGAGCAATGGCATTTTGTAAAACCATCACTCCTTTGCTATGTGAACATAGCATTTCGAAATACATCTTTGTTTAAATGGATGTCAGTCGTCGCTGTAGAGGCTCTAGAAGGCAGAAGTGCCGCCTGTATCACCAGATACAGACTTTCTTCATTTCATCCAAATTTACAGTAAGTGTGATTTTGTGTTATTTCATATTATTGAAGACTGATTCCAGAGCTAACACAGTATACTTTTTTAATCAATCAAAGAATAACGCAACTTTTAAGGATCTGCCAAAAGAAGTTGATATCACACATTAATTAAAACATATAAAGCATACATACTCAGCTTTGATCATTATATATATATACAGTATATAATATGCTATATCCCCTCGGCTCTGTTAAGTTTCAGCTTTATTTTTAAGCTGACAGTGAGCTACCTGCTGAGCACCCGGCGATAGACGGAGGTGAACTTGGTGGAGCATTTAGCATCCTTAAGACATATTTTATTTCCCTCAGAAATTGGTGGAGACCAAAACCAGAGATAAAGGAGGGCATTCAGGGTTCAGAAACACACCTTCAAATCAATAACAGTTTTGTTCTGTCTGCCGTTTCTGGAAACAGGCCGCTGATTGAGTGCAACCAATATTTCTTTCTCTGCTGCGATCAGCTGTTTTTTCAATGTACAATTTAAAATGACCCACCTCGACCCCATTCACCGCCAGCTTCCCCACAAACACCTGTCCAATAAGTCGACTCCACTGAGCTGCTTATAGAAGTCCAAATCCTCCCTTTTGTTCTTCACCTTTAACCACAACCCGACCGCTTTGAGGTAATATTCCTGCCCCCCCGCAAGAATGTCTACTAATGTCTACTAACAAAGACTCTTCTCGTATTTCCTCAACTTTACAAATTGTGCACATAACAAACAAAGAAATAGTAAACGTATGCATCCCTTCTTTCAATGACTCTCCACTGATGTAATGTAGAATCCTGTTTAGAAATACTTGCAAACAGATTGGTATTGTCCACACAGGGTCAAGTGACCACTCAGGGTCTCATCTGTTCATATCACAGCTGTGCCTCCAGGCGTGACTCCTCCCTGGCGGATGAGGAGGCAGGACGAAGGGGTGACCCAGGGTAGAGGACAGGGAGATGCGCGCGGAGGGCTCGTACTCCAGCATTCTCTCCAAGAGGTGGAACAACTGCTGGTGCTCCGTTCCACGGGACAACAAGTACTCCTGAAAGAAGGACGGAGAGGAAGGAGTTGGTCGTGGGGAGCTAACGCGGCACGTGTTTACGAGTCTGCGGCGTCGCACTTGCCCTCAGCGGTTTGCACTTGGCCTTCACGTAGCGTCCGGCCTTGGAGTACTCATTCCAGTCGAGGCGCCCGCGCTGGAAATACTTCTGCTTCCTGCGAGGAAAAGAATAACGTTTTGTTTGTCGTGCGTCGTGGCGTGTTTCTGTGTTGATGTGTGTTACCTGCTTCTCTGGATCATTCTCTGAGGAACCGCTCCCTGCACCCTCTCCATCATAGCAAGGTGCTCCTTATTGTCATGAGTCTAGACGCAGAGTTCACGGCGACAAAATCAATCACAACTGTGCTACTTTCACCGTACTCCGATTGAACCAGTTTAATATGGGGCGCCGTTTGTCACACGTTCTAAAATCCTGCGCAGTTTTGCTACATTTAGCATTTCATATTAACAAAAAACCACGACAATATTCATATGTCACTTTTTTAAACATTTAGAGAGAAATTCATGTAAATTCATGCAATAACTTTTCCAAGGATAATGTTTGGCAGTAACACAACGTTGTTAAATAATTTAAATGTAAATGTAATGTTAAATGTAAATGTTAAATGTAAATATAAATGTTAAATGTAGATCTAAACGTTAAATGTTCACTCTACATATCAGACTTGACGACTAAACATTACAATATTTACGGTAATTCACGCCGCGGCAAGACAAGCTGGCAAGTCCGGATGAATTAGCTCTTGTTCTAGAGCGGGGGTGTCAAACTGATTTTAGGTAGGGGGCCACATACTGTCCACGTTAGATATAACATTTAACATTTAGATTTAGATTTAACATTTAGATATAACATTTAACATTTACATTTATATTTACATTCAGCATTTGTATTTAGTATAACATTTATATTGAGATTTAACATTTATATTATAAAAGTTACTGCATGAATTTACATGCTTTTTTGTTCATATGAAATGCTAAACGTAGCAAAACTGCGCAGGATTTTAGAACGTGCGACATTTTACAAACGGCGCCCCATAGTTTAATCCCACATGTGACCTGGTACAGCGTGAAGCCTTGGTAGTATTCAAACAGGATGCATCCGATGCTCCACACGTCACATGGGTGACTCCAACCCAACTCTGTGAGAGGGAGAGGAGGGACGGAGTCTTCAACACAAATGAACAGCACTGACAGCTGCTGGTTGCTCCCTGGTCGTAATCAACACATCTCACCCAGTACGACCTCTGGAGCTCGGTAGTGACGTGTGGAGATGACGGTCGAGTGGTGTTCGTGGTCAAAGGTGGCGCTGCCAAAGTCAACGAGCCGCACCGTGGTGTCGTTTATTCTCCGCTCGTTGCACTTCTGAAGGAAGACAGAAAGGAAACAAGACTTTTGGCCAGATACACTTTACTTGGAGATAAAACGTAATATAAACCCACTGGTGTTCAGTCGGATGCTCAGTAAAATGCAAACCCATGAACAATGAAAACACCAATTAGATCAGATTAGATGTTATACTTCACTGTGCCGTTAACCTTTGAAACCAGCTATTTGTTTGTTTGTTTATGTGTAAAGTTGTGAAGAATTTGAGTATAAGTGTTTGCGTTGACATGAGATGAAGGATATTTTTTGGTATTTTGTATATATATATTTTGGGGCTTATATTTGGTAAAATATCTATATATATACTGATATACATATCCATATACAGTAAACATCGGTAACTGAAATAAGTTTGACTAAGCTGTTTTTTTATTATTAAAGGCTTTGTGATGATGTCCTGTCTGCCTCATACAGAGAATAAAACAACACATTGCACTCAGCTCAGAAAAAAACTATCTGTGTCTGAACCCCTTTGATCGCAGGTTCGTCTTTCTTTTACCTCCAAAGTTCTCAGCTTCCTGCCTGCAGTTGTTTACCTTCTCAGCGTTGTATATGAGGGAGTAGTCCGAGTTGACAAAGAGGATGTTTTCAGGCTTCAGGTCGGTGTGAGTCAGCTTGTTGTCATGGAGAACTGCAGTGGAGACAGAGGGAGGAGGGCGATGCATCATGGGGGGAGCCAACGCCCTCGTCTGGTAGAGTTTTTCATTCGTTTGACGGTCAAACTTTGACGGATTTGTAGACAAAAAATAGACAAATCAAATGAAACAAAAAATCTAGAATTATCCCTTTGTGTTTTTCTTTTAATCTGCATGAAGAATCAGTCTTCAGTCCCCCTCTAAACATCTACAAGGCTTGTTCTCTCTCACACTGGACAGTCGTTATCACTGACAAGGGTCCTGAAGAACAAGAGAAAAAGCAAAGTAGGACGTTGGACTCACAGCCGACAGCGTGGCAGATCTGGCGGGCCATGTGTCGGATCTGGTTAATGGAATAAGGCAGGAAGTTGTTTGCTTTCAAGAAGTCGAAGGTGCTGAGAGACAGCAGCTCAAAACAGATGCACATGTGGCCGCAGTGGTTGAACCAGTCCAGCATCTGCACACAGTGACTGATGGCAAAGGAAGATGGTGGTGACTGTTTGGTGCAGAACGGTAACTCAGTGTCCCGTGCAAAGGAAGAGAGAAGAAGCAAAGCAACAAACACAAGAAGTCACGACCAAACGTACACAAAAGAGTCTTAAAGACAAACGTCTTACTGTCGGTTGTCTGGATCGCTGGTGCCGATCTTCTCCAAAACGTTGATTTCCAGTTTGGCCGCTTGTCTGTATTTCTCCAAGTTCCTAATGATCTTCAGAGCGATTCGGCCTCCTCCTCTGTGTGTTAAAACACAGTCGTTTAGAGCCTTGAACACAACTTAGATCATTAGATGCAGCAAAGTACCTGCTGAGGTCCGAGCATTGCACCACCTTCCCGAAGGTTCCCTCACCGAGCGTGTTGATTATCTCGTCTGTGGGAGAGTTTGAGATGAAATGGAAGCTGTAAAAAAAAAAAAAAAGCTGGCAACGCTTTACAACCGATACCTACATCTGTCTTCGAGGACGTCCCCACTTTTGTAGATCAGATGGCCGCTTTCCGTGTCCCTCCCGTCATCGCCTGCAGCCTCGCTGCTGCTTCGCTGGAGGCAAAAAAGCACATTGATGACCGGCGGAGCAGAAGAATCAAGAGGAATCTGGGTGGAGATCAAGCGGCATCCGTGCCTTTCGCCACAAACCGGCTTAAAGGCCGAGACGACATGAGTGATCTGATCTGTGGGTCTTAAAGGGCAAACGGTCAGCAGGTGGGTTTACCTCTGGTTAGGACTGATGCATTCAAACATGGAAAAAAAAACTCTGCAGGAAAGGGTTGCTTAGTTTCACGTAGAGATTCAAAATGGCAAAAAAGAAAAAGATTGCAAGCTTCTGCAGCGAGTTTGATCCCGATGACCTGAGTTTCTTCCATAGGAGGTTAACAAGTGAAGTCAAATGGCTTCTGGCCTCTTCGGAGGAGCTGAGGCTCTATTTCCATCCGCATTCTGAGACTGTTATTAATATCAGAAGTGTGCTGAGGAGACACTCGCTGCAGGGCATGGGCCGCGGAACAGACCGTACACAAAGTCATGTAAACACACACACACACGATATGTGGAGCCGGAGGACAAATCTACGAATTGAACTTCACCACATTGAGCAAATGATTTAATGTCAAATGTCAACCTTTAGTCAGAGGTGATTGTTGGAATTATATGAGAGAGGATGTGGAGATACTCACAGGGCGGCACAGACAGATACAGTCCAGAAAACCCTTATAGACGGAGCACAGTTCTGTCTTCCCCATGATGGAGAAGCAAAGCGCTTCAGCGGAGGAGGATGGAGGTGACGCGATGAGGTGAAGGAGACGGGCAGGTGGAGCAGGACGGCTGGACGACCGGGAGCAAGGCGATATTAAAGCAACGGCAACTTAGAAGTTGTGGCAAAAGGAAAAAAATGGCTCGCGAGGTCGTCAACGGAAACCAGAAGGGAAGGTGGGAAGAAATAGCTTTACAGGAATTTAAATAAAAATCAAACAGAAGCCAAAAAGAACGACAAAGAGAAAGCGACGGACAGCAATGAGACGAGGAGACAGATCGGGAGGAGGGTGAGAACGAGAGAGCTGAGACCGGAGCTAAGAATAAACTTTGGTCACAACCCCCCGAGAAAGTCTTCTGAGGAGAATCAAGATGTGGTGAAGGGTGGCAGAGATCCAGTTTCACTCATCTTACTTACTCTCCTCCCTGCACCTTAACCTGCCCACACCTGTCGCGCTAACCTTCTGATACACTGGGGGGGGGGGGCGGGGGGGGGGGCATTCCCTCGGGACAGAAACAACCGACAGCTCATATCAAGATTTTATTGGAGAGTTCATAGGAAGTCGCAGGCAAAAAGTATTAAAAACAGAAATCATTTCAAACGCGTTTGAACAAAACAGCATTAAAAAGAATTGTGAAGTGATCAGTTAGAACATTTTGACCCACTGACTCATCGTTTTCATTGTTGTCACATTGTTTAAATCACGATTTCTTTTTGCTCTGACGAAGTGAACTGGGGGAAGCAGAAATGACCTCCTATCAGACTGAACGGTGAGGCGATGGTTTTCTGTTCGGAGACCTGGGTGGGAGGGGGGGGGGCTCAGATGGTCACATGCACATCTTCGTAGTTGGTTCCAGGGAATATCAGCATGTCCCCGTAAGGCTCGTCCTGCTCCACCCGCAAACGCCTGGCCGATAACGCCTCTGCGGACGAGACGCAAACACAGTACATGAGCAACATAGGACTTTCACCGCAAATACAAGTGGTATTCATATATATTTAATAAGAAATCCTCAAAAATATTTTCATTTTAAATCCAATTGTTATTGTGTTTCGGTCTCTCCATACGCCGCATCTCAAAGATCTCACACAGAATTATGGCCTGCAGGCTTCCCTCCACTGTCAATGCTGACCACATCACCCCAGTTTCCACACGTGCAATGGGAGGGTCGGATGGTCACATAAACCTTTCCTTACCCAGGAGCCTCTGAAAGGAGTTGCTGACGGTCCTGCGGTCGGCGTCCGGCGGCACAAGAGACCAGAACCCCACAGGTGCCATTTCATGCATGGGAAAATCCGGCAGCGGCCTTAACGCGCAAAGGAAAACGCACGCACAAAAAACGCGTTCGAGATGCTGAGTGTTTACAGGCCAGTCACAGTGTCAGCGGCGTCATCGTTACCCAGAAGCCTCGGCTGCGGCGATCCCCGGCAACTCGTCCATCGCCTCTGGGATGTCCCGCAGTGCAGAAGCAGACCTGGAGATAGTGGAGCTGCACACACGCACACGTCTGCGCATGAGCCTCTGCACACGTACACGCCTTTAGGTGTCTTTACTGTGCTCTGTGGAGCCACCCACCCTTCTTTCTCCGATGCGTACATGGGGGAGATCTCTCGAGACGTCTCCCTTTGGTCGGAGGCCTCCAGCAGCAGCGAGCCATGCTCTGGACAAGCACACACACACACACACACACACATCTGAGGACATTGCATGGGCTTATATTTGTTCCCCTTAACCATAAGTGATACATGCCCATCTCCGACCTCTGACCTCAACTTAACCTCAGGGCAGACTAAGAATAGCACAGTGGAGACATTGAGGAGAACCACTTCCCCCACAGTTTAACACAAACTAGCTGGTTTGGTTTGGACTCACAGTCCACCAAAGAGAGTGATGGTGTACCTGAAATGTTAAATAATACTGGTTCGGCCACATCTCGGGGGACCTGCGTTCACACACACACACACACACACACACACACACACACACACACACACAATCAGTCATTCGTTTATGCTTGGACATTTCTCCATCTTCTCCCGGCACAAAAAAGCAAACAAACAAACAAACAAACGTGGCCTCCACACCTCCTTCCCCTTGAGTGCCTCAGCTCTCAGCATCTGGATCATCTCTGGATCTCTTTCCTTTTCAGAACCGCTGGACTCTGCCTCCCGCTCCCCAACCCGGAGGTCCGCGCCTGAGGCAGGGTGGATGTTTGCGGCCCGTCTCCATAGAAACAGCGCCGGTACAGGCAAGACTGCAGGGGGGGGGGGGGGGGGGAGGCTTTGAAGGTAATTTCTTTCTTAAAAGGGTTTTTAAATATATAAAAATCAAAAATTTTTTAAAGCCCAGTAAATCTGTCAATGGGGAAAAAAAAAAAAAGGAATCTTTTGAACCCGGGGTGTTGTTTCCCACACACAGTGTAAAAGGAAACCTGTGTTTGCCCCCCAGGTGGGTTCCTCACCGCTGCAGGGACTGTTGAAGAGCTCAGCGGGAGAGGGCATCGCGTGGGAAGGCGACGGGGGGTAAAGCGGTGGTGCGGTCTCAATCAGAGGGTCGTTGATCTGCTGCTGCAGCACCTCCGGGTTGATCTGCGTCTCCGAGTCGAAGAAGATCAGCTGCCTCCTCCTCTTCGCCCTCACCTTTACAGGAGGCTCATCCTGGCAATTGGAGGGGTGTGAGAAGTAAGATTAGATTAGATTAGATTTGCAGTTTTAATCAAGTCATCAACATGTGTAACTGCCAACCCGGTCTCACAGCAAAACGTGTAATAGTGTTAGGCATTAGCTACGTTGGACCAACGTGTATTCTCACGCATTCTCCCCAAAATCGTGACAATACTACGTTTTTATTTTTGCCCATTCCTTTACATTGCCTTGCAACTACGTCACTAGAAACTAATAAACGGAAGGTCTTCTACATTCTCTGATAGAAGATTATCAAAATATAACTCATACTTCTAGAAATGCCATCGAAATGCATACAAATGTTGATGCTTTCTTAAAATATTGTGTTTTTCACAGATAATAGACCGACAGTTCGGCTTTTTTTTTTTAAAGCTGAGGGAAACTTAATAGTCACGTGACCGAGTTGCAAATGGAACGTTGTATTCTCACGCTTTCTCCCCAAAAGCGTGAGAATACCACATTGGTCCAACGTGGTATTCTCACGATTTCTTGTAACTGCTGACTGAACATCTCTGCTTGCACCTCTGACGGCGGCGGCGATCCTCGGGACGGGACGGCGGCCCCGGAGACGGGGGTGACCTGGTCCGACGGGGGTCCAGGCTTCTCCCCGGGTAGGTTGGACTCCTCCTGAGCCGTCGGGATGGCGTCCTCGCTAGAAGAGGTGGTGGGCTGTGATCTGACACAAGTAGAGACGCCTGTGAGGATCCGTGTGTGTTTGTGCTGATGCGACCGTGTGCGTGGGGACCATTTACTCTACAGGGGACCCTGGGAGCTCTTTCGCTCCGTCTCTCTCCGGGGCTTTGTCTCTTCGGCCCTTTTCCGTCTCCCTCTCTTGGTCTCCCGGTGTCACTTCCCCTCCCTGCATCTCGAAACCCTCTTTAGGATTACAGATTACGGCAACAACGACAATGAGATGAGTTCTTCGCTTGTCTCTCTCTCTCAAAAATGGAGCTCCAGTTTTTTTTTGCCACTGACCTTCCGGAAAGTCATCTGTTTGGGCCATGAGCAAGTCGAGGGTGTCTGGATGATGATCGATGAGCTCCTCGCCCTCAAACTAGCGGGGGAGAAGAAGAAGGGAGACAAGGCATGAACGCCAGCGATGACCAGCAGGACACTGAAGTGTGTTTCCTCCGAAGGTCGTACCTCCGCGAGCGGGATGGCGTCGGGCTCCGCCTCTCTCAGAGTGATGCTGTCCGGAGACGCAGTTATGCCTGCGGCAAATGTGGGGGACATACCATGAAGACAGCGTTTCTACAACAACTACACAAACAGCAGGAGAGGACACAGCTGATGGAGCTGCCTCCTCCTGCAGCTACGTCACACTTCTCCTCCAATCAGGAGGACGTTGTTGAGCGGCGCTCAGCGCTGCCGTAACCCCCGACCTCTACAGGAACTGGCCTTTCACCGTCTGTCTGCTGCTCTGGATTATTCACAATCCGAGCCTCGCCTGCTCCTGTGACCTGATGGTATTTCTGTGCATCTCGCTACGTGCAATCAGCTGCATTGTACCATTCATGTCTTTGCACAGACAACATTTTATTAATGCTAGTAATGAAAAAAACGAACAGGACAGACTTTGAGTATTCCCTTTCAATGGTTTTTCCAGCAAGGCACGCTGATTTTGAAGTTGCTCTGTGTCACGGCAGCGCGTGCAGACAAAAGGCGTCTCCGCTTCCTTTCCTACCGAAACGCCGCTCATTTACACACATTTGATGATTCGAATTCTACCGCATGTCAAATTTGTTCTGTTTCCCGGACCTGCGTTGATCCAACGGCCCGGAAGAGATCAGTATTTTCATGTCATCGCAGCCCATCGAGTCACCCTTACCGCTCTCTACCGCAGCAGCACTTGGAGTCGGACTCATCTCCGGATGCTGAGGAGACGATTCTCTCAGGTACTCTCGACTCATCTCCAAGACAGAAGAGCACAAACGTCTCATCAGCACACAAGCGTTGCGCCTGCGTGTTAAATCGCCCTCGTTGTCTGGGTATTCTGGTCACCTGTAACAGTGTGTTGGGACTGGGGACGGGCTCCTGCATGTACATCACTCCGAATAACGGGTCAGGAGCTCCTTCTGCCTCCTCCAGGAGAGACAGGGCGTCAGCAGCGTCCACAGCTGGTCTGAGGGTCAAAGGGAGGCCCGGCGGGGAGACGACTGGGTTTTTAAGGGAAGTCAAACTTAAAATGTGTGAACAACCTCTAACCCTCACCTGCTGTCTCCATCCATGTCGATTTTCCGGCAGGTTTTCTGTTTGGTCAGCTGGCCCACAACGGTCTGAAGTTCCTCTGGAAGGACACGAGTCGTACTGCTTATTAGTGTGTAGAACCGAGGGAAAGTGCAATGACATCATTTCACGTCCCGTGTTATTTTAAGTTGGTTTCAGAGAGAGTGGAAACAATGAAATTAGTCAAATGCAGGACTTGTCTGCAGATACGGTGTTATATATTATATATGACATGTTTACACATTTACAACAAAAACCTTTTATCGCAGCGCATCAAAAAACAGTAGCCGCTGTTAAAGACTGGAAGAGTTAATCGTATTTTGCATTTCATAGCATTAGAATCCCACATTTAAACAGACAGATTCTGTAGAATTACACAGATCCCGTGTAAAAACGGTCGCGCGTGTGCGAGTCTGAGCTTAGTTCTTTTAATTTCCAATTATTCTCCTGATGCTTCCATCATGTATCCATCACTTGTATGTACATTTGTATTTGTATCATATTTGTACAAATGTAAAAAAAAAAAGGAAAGGTCTAAAAAGAAGCAGAGCACCTCCGCCTCCTCCAGTCCGTCGACCACTTCTTACCCAGGAAAATAACACACTGCTGGTGGAAGACGACCACGACGCCGTACTGGAGCTGGGAGGAGAGGTAGAGGGAGAAGCGAGGCCGCGGCAGACCGGGCCGGGGGGGCGCGACCTGCTCCAGCACGTAGTTCATGATGTCATCACTGCACGGACAGTAGATTTTATTGCAACCGGACAGATTCACAGTTCAGTCTGAATGCGTGACGGTGACAAAAATAACTTCTCACCAGGTGCTCTTGACGTTGACCTTTAAGAAATCCCGGCGGGGAACTCTGAAGGCTTTTGTAGCAACGAGCCTGAGACGGACACGCAGCACTTTATAACCTTTTGAACTGTACCAACTGTGATTTAAGTCCTGTGAAAATCCTTTGTTGCCATTTTCCTGAATCATGTTTATGTAATAAACCTCCATCTACTACCGTGCTTCATTATTTGAATGTTCAGAAAAAAGAATAAAGAGTAAAGCTTGTTTCAGCAATAATTTCTACTAGAACCATACACGCATTTCTTTCCCCTCCTTTTCTTATAATGTAACCTTTGACCTTAACGTGATCTTCAAAGCTTCCGTCTTAAAAGGCAACTTCAAAGCCTTAAACGGGTTGTTTTGCTTGAGCTCTCTGGACACACATTTGTTTTTTTTGTGCACCTGCACTCCTGCATTCTTTTTTTTTTAAGTGTGTGTGCTCCAAAAGTATGAACGTTATATTTTAAATAACGTTATATAATGGAGAATCTAACGTTAACTTAGATTATACAATTAAATATATAATATAAAAATGTGCGTTACACGCGGGGCAGTTTTTTCGCAAAATCTACACATCTGGGAACACATGTGCATTTAAAACAATCAGCCTTTATGTTCATTATTAAAAAACGTCTGTCGACTTATTGGGGACTTGATTGACCACATAAAATGATGACTGTGGCATAAACTTTCATTTAACGGAGCGTGATTTTATATTTGACATATTTGAGGAACGATGTGCGCATTTATGAGGATTTTAACGGAATACAATCGTTCAGCAAAAATGTCAAAAACACTGCGGACCAACGTTCCGTTAACAAAAGGCAGCGTTGAAGTAGCAAGAGTATCTAAAACTGATGATCGATGACAAATCCAGTAAGATTTAACATTAATAACGTAATGTAACACCCGAGAGGCCGTTATGACGTCACCAGCTCTCAGCTTTATCGATTTAAAAGAGTCAAGATATTATTTTTACTCACCAGATTGTAGAGAAACATCCTGAATGTCGCTGCAAAACTGTCGGGTAATAAAACATTGTAGAAAGTTGCAGAACTCGATCAAGTCGCTGGGAACGTTAAATAAGAGGAGCGGGTTTAGAGGATGGAAGCCGACGCAGATGGTCGCCTCATTTATTGTAGAAACGCCGATTGGTCAAATCCCACCATGAAAAAAAGATGTCTAAGAATTGTTTATTTAGAGAAAAAAAACAATGTGTGCAACTTTAGCGGGATTTTTAGTAGCTTTAATTATATTATTTGAAGGATATATCTATGTTGGCTCTTTCTTACAAGGATTTATTTCTCACAATTCTTCATATAATTAAACTGATTCAACCTTAAAATTGTACCGTTTATATCGTTTTTATGGCCTAATTGATTTTTTGTTTTTTTTTTGTTTTACAAAAGAACGGCTGCATCAGCTTTGATTTATTGCAGAAAACTGCATTTTATTCACATTTAAAGAAAAAGCATCATGGACAAAATAAGACAAATCAGAGAAACCCGTTCATATAAAATAAAGACAACAAAACAGCTGCAATAAACGACAAAAATTCAACTTAAAACGTTATGGTGCTGGAAAATGGATCCTCTGAGGTTCCTACGGATACAGTGAAGGCAGTGAAGTCAACGATGGCTGCAGATCACAGTAGTCTTCCTCTGCACTCAGTGGACCCGCAGCAGCAGAGCAGCACCTTCCCCTCCACGCTGCCCACCTCGTAGTTGTAGTCCCAGGTCAGCTCTGTGCCCGCACGGATCCGCCTGCACAACGACACGAGCGTTGAGGGATAAGAGCAATCAATAGGTCAGAAGTAAATGTGCTGCATTGAGTGCTGCATTAATGTGCATCCAGCCTATTCCTAGACGTTGAGACCGAAGAGTAACTGGAGTCCAATTCCGGTAAAGCTGATGCTGAACCTAAACGGACGATAATAAGCTCACTCTTTTGATGGAATATCATTGGAAGGTTGCGGTTTTGTTCTTACATCAAACTTTACACTAAAACTTAGTTCAAGCAAATAAATATAATGATAATTAATCTGGAAACCTTCCAGTCACAACTTTTAGGCTCTATTTCTCCATTTGCACGTGCACGTTAACGCAGGTCAGCCTTTTACAGTATTAATTTATCACATACTTAATTACTGTACAAAAATAGGCTTTACAATGTGGACTATTGACGTATTTAACCTCCAAAGATCACATACTACACTGTGATTTAAATTGTGATGCAGGTATCAAATAACCATGTTGGGTCACTTCAACAATCCATAATCCGTGACAGACATCAGAACTCACTTGCTGGCAAAGAACGCCACCCAGGGAAACCTCAAATCATGCGTGTCCACAAACACATTCTGCACGAAAAGGTTGGGACTACAACTGTGCTGTAATACAAAGAGGAGATACGATCAAATAAAAACAATCAGCACAGGAACATGTGGAGATCTTTCATGTGAAACACTCACATTCAGGTAACGCCCAAGGTTTCCTTCCAACTTGGCATCGATGATGTAGCAGGACTCTTCCCCGTCAAAGAACAATCGGGTGTTTTTGGGAGTGTTCTCTCCACCTCCTCCAGGCTGACCCTGCTGTCCGGTTTTCCCTCCCGGACCTCCCGGCCCTCCCCCGCCTCCAGGTGTGCCGGTTTTCACCATCATCCCGTGGCCGCCCTTCAGGGCGATGCCGCGCGTGGATTTCACTGCTACCTGCTTCTTAGTCACACCTGGACCAGAAGCAGCAACAGGAGTGAGACAGAAAGAGGTGAAGACCTTCAAAACCACGCAGTCATCATCGGTAAATAAGTAAGTGTCCGGTATTTGTTCATCTCTCCCCTTTCTTCTCACCCAGGGTGACTTTTTCTCTCTCCTTGTTGTCATCAGATCCAGAGCTGATGGTCTGAACCTCATCACTATCGGAGAGAGTCATCACTTCCTGCTTCTTCCCCGTTTCTGACTTCACTTGACTGCAAAGAAAGACAAAATCTTAAGTGTCTAAAGTGTTCCGTTTAAGAACAGGAAAAACGAGTGATCCGAGCATAACAACACACCTCTTTCCGTCTCCGGACTCCTGCGATGGAAAATAGACAATTGAGGGTTATTGATAATTTTGGACAATCATCATAATAATGATTTAAAATCAATCTTCCAAAAGATTATAAAAGTTATAATTAGCTGAAACAGCCAGATTGTGTGTAGATGAATGTGTGAGACACAGAAAACACACACAGAGCTCACATCCACAAAACGTTATTCTGATTTCATCTCCTCCTCCCTCACCTTCTTGAGCTCCTGGCTGGTGAGCCAGGAAGCCACTTTGCTTTTGCCCGTCTCTTCTGGCATGGACGGGGGCTTATCGTCCCCGGCTCCTCTGGCTAACGCGCTCATTTCGTCTTTACTGTCTTGACTCCCTGGAGCACAAAGAAGGCGTGTGTTAAAAGACAAAACCAAAATCTTCCAAACCCACCTTTTAGATTCCCTGCTTCAATGCAGAGGAAACAAAGCATGAGGCGTGTTGAGAAAGACAGAAACATTGTCAAAATGTCACCTTTAACTCACTTACACTTGGCACTCTCACTCGGCAGAAGGATTGAATGCAATTGATTAAAATATCCATTAAAAAAAATATCTGTTTAGAAAAAGTGATTGGGCATTTACTCTATTACCGATCAAAAGCTGTATTGGGTTTGCTAATTCTGTCCAAAAACATGTTTCATTTCAAGTGAAAAGAAATTTAAAAAGTAAAACAATCAAATTTTTAAAAATGACAACAAGCATTTTTCACTTTTATTTTAAAAGGATAAAAATTGTTCATCAAATTGTTCTTAATTTTCTTCAATTCTTCTTCAATTTCTAATGGATAATTCAATCAATCTGTTGTATCAGCGTAATCCCTTAAATGTCTAACCGTTTGTTTAAATAAAATCCCCCCCACACCTCATGCTCACCTTCCTTGTTGCCCTTGACCTGACCACGTGTGGTGTAACTCCTCCACACGGAGCTGGTGCTGAAATTGCTTTCCTTCACAAACGTGTCGTCCGAACTGTCACTTTCCTCTTCGCTCTTTGAATCTTTGTCTTCGTCGTCCTCGCTGTCCCCTGATGAGCTTGAACTTTGTCCTTTTGACGGATGAAAAATACAGAAATAAATAAAAACACAGGAAAAAAATTGAGTGGAGGAGGCAGATAAAATTCGGACTTACCCTTTTTGGGCGGCCTCCCAACCGGGTTAGCTGATACTAAAGCAGATGGCTGGATTTTTATTCTGGACACGTCCACGCCGCTCCCCTCGCTGTCGGAACAGTGAGCCTCGCTCTCGTAGCCCTCCTTGAAGTTCTCCACGCTCTCTATGTGGTCCAGATTGGCAAAATACTCGTCCCCCATCTCTAGACCTTCTCTGTCCGCAAAGTCGTCGGTCAAAATTTTGCCTGGTGAAGTGGAACAGAAAGGCAGGGAGGAGTAAGTAATAAACGGGATGAAGGCGTCGGCATTTCCACGAGGCGTGTCGGTAACATCTCACAACTCTGTTCCTCCTCACCAGCGTAGATGCAGACAAAAGAGCCCTTGGCCACGTCGTCCAGACAGCGGATACCCCAGCCTTTGTTCTGGGTCTTGAAGAGCTGGAGGCGCACCTGGAGGCCGTGTTGCACCAAACGGTTGGTGCACATCTGGGCACAGCATTTGCACCGCTTGTTGCATTCGTAGATCCTGAGAGTGTTCAGCAGGGAGGATGATATTAGATGACCAGAATGGCAATTCTTTTCAAATGTATCTCTTCCTGTTGATTGTGCACAATCACCGACCCTGTTGGGAGACACTCCTCTAATCTTTTGTGCAAAAATCCAGCGTTTGTGTTGATCTGAGCCCCCGGTGTGCAACCTGTGGCCTGAAGGGTCAGCTGGTGGCAAGAGCATTTGGACCTGTGACAAGTACGCAAAAGACGTGTTTAGAATATTAAAGGGTGGGAGAAATGTGAAATAACGCAGGAACAACGACTTTATTTACTTGTCGCGACAGCCGTCGGTGCAATCACATCCAACCAGGAAGTCCGAACTGGTGTTGATGTATACGCCATCTTCAGGAATACGCTCTTTACCTTGAATCATGTGAGGCAATTTATCAGACTTTACCAAACTCCTTCTGGAGCCACGAAAAGCTTCTTACTATTTCTTCCACATATTAACTTGAGCTAAACAGATAAAATCAGTGGTCACTTCATAGTCTGATCCCGGCACAAGCGCAATTTATCCCTCTTAGTAAATAAATCGAGGGCATTCTTACTGTAAGCGACTTTCGGAGGCGGAGTGGAATCAATCTCGTTGACGCAGGAGAGCGGAATGTCCTCTCTTCCAGCAGTGATGTCGTGAATGTAATAGAACGGCCTCTGCGGCTGGAATGGCCGGTCCACGAGCACATAAGGGTCCAGACAGAACATCTCTAAAAATATAAAGTCACAGCGTGTCTCGAAGAGGTAGAACTGGATCTCTGCCATGTTGCGCAGGCAAAGCCCGCACGGAGCCTTGTAGATCACGTGAAAGGACATCTGAGGGGTGGACATGCAGAAGACAAGAGTTGTGCAATTCAGTTTTTAATTATGTTAAAGGAAAACTGGATGTTTGAAGGGAACGGAGAAACTTTGGACTCATTGCACTAATCTTCCTTCCTACCTTGCGGTTGACTTTTCGTCGCCCCGTCATGCGTCTGAAATCGTACAGTAAAGGTGTGAGCAGGGGGTTCTTCCCCCGGTGGATGTCTGACTTTGCAGGTCGGACGCGATTGAGACACGCGGGCTGACAGGTGTGCGCCAGGTAGAAGATGCGGTCCGTCGGGGCGCGGTACGAGGGCTGCCGCGGGATGGTGGCCATGGCTTGGCTCACGGGAGGCGGTGCGGCAGCCAGGGGGGGAAGTCTCGGGTATGACTGCGTGAAGGCAGGGGAAGCAGGACTTTGGCCACTCAAAATTCTCGCACTGTGGATTCACAAAAGAAAAAAAACGGAGAAAAGGATGAGTTAACATCAACTTGCTAAGATGGGATTACTT